TATGAAAAAGAATTATTGGCTGTGGTGATGGCTGTTAGGAAATGGAGGCACTACTTGCTAGGGCAACCTTTCAAGGTCAGAACTGATCAATAGGCCTTGAAGCACCTATTGGAATAGAGGATTGGAACCCCTGCCCAACAGAAATGGGTATCAAAGTTGCTTGGATATGATTTTGTGGTGGAATACAAGAGTGGTAAAACCAATGCTGTTGCAGATGCCCTATCCAGATTACCGACTACAGATTGCACCCCTCTAACCCAAACAGCCACCTCCAAAACAACGCACACAAAAAGCCAAACTAGTAAACCAAACATTCAAGCAATAAACATGCTACAAGCTAAATGAATTGAGGAGTTAAAAGAAAACATACCGTCAAGGTCCCCAATTGCAGGAGCTTTTAAGCAACTACCATCAGGGGACCTTGGACCATTCTCTATACGAGCTCCGGAATGATCTCCTCTTTTATAAAGGGAGGCTTCATTTAGGAACCTTGTTACCCTTTCAACAGCAGATCCTGCAACAGTATCACAGTAGTCTATTAGGGGGTCACACAGGAGTTCATAAGACTTATTCAAGAGTCAAAAAGGAGTTTTACTGGCCTAGAATGAGGAAGGATGTTAAGATATTAATCAAGGAGTGTGACATGTGGTAAAGGAATAAGGCAGAAATAATACACCCAATAGGATTGCTTCCGCCCTTACCAATATCAGAGAGAAACTGGTTAGACATCAGTATGGATTTCATCGATGGACAGCCATCTTCGGAAGGGTGCACTGTAGTAATGGTGGTAGTGGATAGATTGAGCAAGTATGCCCATTTTATGCCACTGCATCATCCTCACACTGCTCTAAAGGTAGCTAGGAATTTTATGGAGAATGTTTTCAAACTACATGGATTGCCACAAACTATAGTCAGTGACAGGGACTTAGTTTTTACTAGCCAGTTTTGGACAGAACTCTTCAAAATTTGTGGAACTGATCCACTACTCAGCCCAGCCTACCACCCACAAATAGATGGACAGACTGAGATAGTAAACAAAAGCTTGGAATGTTACTTAAGATGTTTTATCTCTGACAGACCTAAAGATTGGAAGAAATGGTTGCCTCTTGCTAAGTTTGTTTACAATACCTTTACACATAGTTCCACCCAACTCTCTCCATTTGAAGTAGTATATGGTTTTCTAGCCCCCAAAATCTTGCCCTATGAACCAGGGACTACTAAAGTGCAAGCAGTCAAACAAGAGATTAAAAATAGGGACTTTATCAGCAAGCTAATCAAAGAAAAGCTCCTGGAAACACAATCAAGAATGAAAAAGCATGTAGATAAAAAAAGGACCGAGAGAGAGTTCCAGGAAGGAGATTAGGTCTACTTAAGATTGAGGCCATACCGACAACTGTCAGTGGCCATGCAAAAGAATCTCAAGCTCTCACCCAGGTATTTTGGTCCATATCGCATCCTTCGACGTGTTGGCAAGGTTGCGTATCGCCTCGAATTACCCCAAGGAGCTCACATTCCCCCAACCTTCCATGTCTCTTGTCTAAAACAGAAACTAGGAAACCAAGTACAAGCAAGCACTCAGTTACCTCAAGTGACAGCTGAAGGATTCCTGATACCAGAACTCGAAGCCATCATTGCAAGGAGACTGAAGAAAAAGGGTCGCGAAGCAGGGGTCGAAGTTCTCATTCATTGCAAAGGAACAAGCCAGGAAGATGCTACATGGGAGGACCTCGAGGATCTACAGAAGAAAATTTCGGATCTTCTGGGCAAGATCCTTTGAAGATCAGGGCATTGTTAGGATCCGAAAGTTAGGGTGTCTTAGTCATTTGTTATTTATTTAAGGTTTGTTTTGTCATGTTTTTGTTTTAGTAAACTGGTCAAGTAGTGGGCTGTTTGGCCACTTTCATTTTGTATCGTGGGTCTTGCATTTCAGTACGGGGGTTAGCGTCAGTTATTGTAAGCCTTTATTTAAGTATTCTGCTATGTGAATCAAAGACATTGAAGCATTCATTCAGTACAAATTGTGGAGGTGTGGCTCCTAGAAAGCCATAAGTGTTCTCTTTGTTTTTATCTTCTAGTTCACCTCTTCACATCAAAATTCAAAGGAATAGATTTGAATTGGAGAGAAGATTGGACTCAAGAAACTGCTTCAATTTTTCTTCTTCAGGCGATTTGTGTCAATTGTAAAATATTGCTAATTAAGTCTTTTTTTTTTTTGGAGTCAATATTTCAAGGCCCTAGGCCCTTGCCTAGGTGGCTTGATCCTAGGGTCGGCCCTGCGTGGAGGTTTGGCATCTATGTGTCACTTCAGCTAAGTTACATAGCTCACTTTATCTTCCTTCATTTATGGTCTCAATGAGGCAAAATAGGTAAAGTGATGTGAAGGCCGAGCTTTAAATGAATTCTTGCTATTTCCCAGCTAGTTGCCACATGGCCGATTCCATAGGACAAGACGTAACAAATTAGTCGACCTGAGACGTATCCCTTAACAAGGTCTATGTGGTGTATTTACAATTAGTTAAAGTAAAAAAATATAATCGACAAAGTGGATTCCTCTAGAACGTTACATTTACTAGAGTATCGTCATTCTAGGTGATTCAATTTTGACATCAAGAAGTCATGTGGTAATCATGTTCAAGAAATTTTATAGTTATCAATGTTGGTAGATTATTGTTAATTGATTAATTTTTTGGAACAAATCAGATCGAGTCTTTACAGACCCTCACATGGGGCTGGGCGTGATTTTCTTCCCCAAAAATGAACCATCCACCCCACCTACTGTGTCTTGTTTGTACCAACCCTATACACGTAGCACAGTTGAATTAGATTTGTCTTCTTAGTCAACCAATAAATGGTTTTAAATTTACAATCGAAAAAAATATAGGAAAAATTGCAGCATCAATCTCTAACCTTTCCAATTTTTGTAGACTTTATTCCAACCTTTAATTTGGACTAATGAAAGTCCCTAACCTTTCAAAAATATGTTGTTGACTAACAAAAGTGAATTTTGATTGATTTGAAATGGGTAAAATAGTAAATTTTTTATTTTTATACATCAAATAAAATAATTTAAAAACTATAAATAGAATAAAATAAAATAAACTAAAAAGGAAAAAGAAAAAAAATTAATAGTTAGCGTCGTCACCCGTCCACTGGCCAGCACCATCGTCGACACAGCCTCTCTTTCATTCGATGGTGTTGGCACAGCCTCCCCTACATCGATACCATCGTCGACAAAGCCTTCCCACCATCAACATAACCATCATCAAATACATAGAGATAGCAATGAGGCGAGTTTGGGGTGAGGCACCCCCACATTGTCTCTCCAAACCTCGCTCCGCCCCCGCTTTAGACGAGGCGGGCAATTTTTGCCCTCGTTTGATATTTTATATTTTTTTATATATATATATATATACATATATATATATATTTATTATTATTATTTTTTTTTTTTTTACATTTTCAAATTTTCGAATTATGTCATCATTAGATAATAAAATACAAATTCAAAAATGAATTTTTAATATCGAATTGTTTAGAAATAAAATTATTTTTAATCTTTTTTCTTTTTTCCCTTTACGGGACGAGTTCAAGGTGGGGCATCCTTGCCCCACCCTACCTCTCTAATCTGTTCAGGGCGAGACCTCGTTGAGGCAGGGTGGGATCGATTTTTTTGCCATCACTACAAATACCACGTCTAAGTCTTAACACCATCACCATAGAATCCACACACCAAAACCACCAAAAAATCGTCATCACCCAACCACCATCTTGACACCTATTTACACTGCCATACTCACATTTCCTCATCTCACCATCAGGCACAAACACTACAGAAACTCATGAAAAGAGAAACCAATTTCACAAAAAATGGTGGTCTAAAGTGAAGAAGAAAACGAGAGATAAAAAAAAGTGCAAAGTGCATCGATTGTTTGTCCCATTTTTGTTGAAATACCATCATCAAATTGGATGCCTAGATTGTGAAAACCGATCGATGACTGTCCGCAATGGTGGGTGTGATCGGATGAGGAGTTGCCAATAATTTTTTAAGTTCGTGAGTTGGGGGTTTTGGGTGGTTATGTCAAGAACATTGCTACATGTACAATATAGTATACACTTTAATTTACACTTTGCATTGGATATTTTAAATTTCAAACAGTTTTTTCTTCAAATTAACACTTGACAACAATGCAAGTATTAACTAAAGTGTCAAAAATTAATGTACAAATAGTAAATTTCATTCCAGTGGCATCTGGTGGAGTTAGGGATCATGGTTGGATAGGATGTGTAGAGGGGAATGAAGGCTTTCTGGTTATATGTAGGTCCAACGATTTAGGCGGTGGTATTGGCAATGAGGATGCGATTGGGTAGGGATGAGGAAGTTGACCTTTTAATAGGGCTTTGGTTTTTAAATTTTTTATTTTATTGTTTTATTTTATTATATAAAATAAAATTTCACTATTTTAACCTTTTAAAATTGGTCAAAATTCTATCAATCTTTTGACTATTGGTGAACTAACGCTCAAATAGATGGTTTCCATTTGGACTCCAACTGCATATTTTAGAAAAATTAGGAATCTTAATTGACATAAATTAAAGTAAAGTCTATAAAAATTGGAAAGGTCAGTGATTGCTAAAAACCATCCACAACATGATCCATTGTACATAAATAGTGCCCCTCGGGGCATAGTCCAGTGGTGCAAGGATAGGAGTGAGGTTATCTCACACTTTGCTGGCAGCCGTAATGTGGGGGTTCGATTCCTGAGACATAGAATTGGACTCCTTGTAGGCGCAGTGTACAAACAGCTTTTGATCCTTGATCTACTGGGATACATCTCGTGATTTACCTCTTTCACAAAGCTCTAAGGGCGGGGTGATACGGGTCTTCAATGTTGAGGTTCAACCTTTTTTTTTTTATAAATAGATCTTTAGAGTGCTGAGAATGCAGATAAGCCACTGCAGCGTGCCATATGGCAATGGAATCTGTGTCATCGTTGCAGCCTCTTGTCTTATGATTGGCTCCCAATTGCTTTGACCCCACCACCACCGTTGTCAATGTCACGACCTAACGGACCAACTCCAACATGAGAGCAATGGGATAGGAGCAGAGTCCATTTTATTTTTTGCTTCACATTTGTTGTCTATTCATTCTTTGCTGCAATAATTCTTCGAAGATTGTATTTTTCATTATTGAAATGATTTCATCTGTGCTCTATGCTCCAGTAAATATATCAGCAGCTGTGTTTTCAAGAACTCTTCTGGGCATATCCAAGGATTTTCCAGCACAACTTTATGATTCTTTGCACAACAAATTCTATTCAAGAAGCCAGGAAAATGGGAAAATCAAGAAACTGAAAAAAGTGAAGGCCACACTGGATCAAGTTCCAAAAGTGGAACCGGCTGAAACCCATACAAATTCAAGGTCACTGGAAAGGAAGCTGAGGATTCTGGTGGCGGGTGGTGGGATTGGGGGGCTGGTTTTTGCATTGGCGGCGAAGAAGAAGGGATTTGATGTGGTTGTGTTTGAGAAGGACTTGAGTGCAATCAGAGGGGAGGGACAGTATAGGGGTCCAATTCAGATACAGAGCAATGCATTGGCTACTTTAGAAGCGGTTGACGTAGATGTGGCTGAAGAAGTTATGAGTGCCGGCTGCATCACCGGTGACCGGATTAATGGCTTGGTTGATGGTATTTCTGGCAGATGGTAAGTTAGTTAATATTTTGTTAAAGAAAGCCTCAGCTAATTGATGGCATGGCACTTTTAATATGGACCTATACCTACCTCTAAAATAAGACAATTAGTATTAGACGGCACTTCTTCAAATATCCCCCAAGTAGGGGCTTCACTTTTTCATGCACGGGACATATTATTTATTTACATTTATTCTCCGAACACAAGTCACGAATAAGCTAGATTGATTTAAGTTTCAGTAATGAGTTTTGAGTGATTGAAATTGCTTGTATGAAATATCTAGGATTTTTTGCATAATTAAGACTTCAGTCTGAGGATATGATGAATTTTGACTCAGAAAGGATAGTTATTGGTGACATGTTTTACTAATCATTTCCTCTTTCTGGCCATGCTGAGCATGTGCCAGCTAAGATTTTTGTGGCGTTAAATCGTAGAAATATAGACGGTAGATAAAATTATGCAAGCCACATGATTCAATCCCTTCATCAATCCAATCCCTTCATCAATCAATATGTAATTTTAATTATGCTAGCTATGATGTGGTGGTGATAGGCAATTTCATGGAGCTCACTTGGGCTAATAACTGAAGGTAAAATATGCCGATCACCACCTTGGTCTTCCTAAGTAGTTAAAGTCCTGATTTGGGCCAAAGGGCGATAGTGATCAATATCATTTAGTAGAAGCACATGAAATTTTGTATGGAAATGGACGGAAGATTTTGACGTCATAATCATTGCATGCAATTTTAACATCCAGTGGGGTTTCACAGGAGAGCAATAATCATCACTTGTAAAAAAACTGATATCCTAGAACTAGAAGAGATATGACAAAACATATTATATCAGTAACTCTGCCATTGAGGCTTTAATTTAAAAAAAAAAAAGAGGAAATGAATGTGGTTTAGAACAAGGCGTGGTCTTAATATTGTGAAATTGCATTTTTCCCACATAAGCTTCTTATGTTCTTTATGAAACCTCTGAATTCTTTCTCTAACATTGTCAGCTTTGCTTCTCTGTCCTACATCCTAAGTTGTGGTCCTTCTTGCTTGCCCAGATCCATTATATATGCATGCATCTATAATTTGACTCTTGTATGCATACACATAGCACTGACCAGAAAAGGTAACGAGCTTCTGTTGGAAATTATCGTTCTATATATAGTCATAGGATTACCTCTATCATCTTATTGTTCTTGTTTAGGTAAAGCGTGTCAATTTTTTCATTTGTGTTTTCTCTGTTTTCCTTTATTTTTGGTACATGGTAGAGCAATCTGATTTAGTTTCATTGATCAATTCTCGGCTTTGTATGGAGGGCCAGTGTACATGAACTTAAATTAGGCTGTAATGAAAATATTATGTCGGATAGTGTACAGTACACACTGTACCCTGTATAAGAAACTATGATTCAGTTGCTTAAAATGATTAACTAGTTGATCATCAGGTACATAAAGTTTGATACATTCAGTCCTGCATCAGAACGGGGACTTCCGGTCACTAGAGTCATTAGCCGCATGACATTGCAACAAATCCTTGCTTGTGCAGTTGGAGAAGATATCATCATGAATGAAAGCAATGTGGTAGACTTCGAGGATGATGGTCAAAAGGTAGTTTTATCACAGAACTCTTCTTTTCCCTCCTATAAAAGAATTAAGGTAGCCGTGGATTACATTACGCTTATTTCTGTAAACCTTGTTCTTTCACCTTCGCACTCTGCATTCTGCAATTTCAGGTTACTGTAATACTTGAGAGTGGAGAGCGTTATGAAGGCGATCTTCTAGTTGGTGCTGATGGAATATGGTCTAAGGTAGATATCTCTCTTTTTCTTTTTCTTCATGTGTATTATTGTATCCTTTAATGAGAATAGGAAGAATAAAGAATTTATTTGCTATTCAAACAAAAATGATGATAATTCTGATACTTGTCTTTGTGGATGAATTGCGGTACTCTAGTTGCAGATATTTACTGAAAGATATAACTGTAAATATCTGGCTATAAATATTTCCCTTTTCGTCGCTGGAATATCCTGGTTAAAATTTCTTCATTGGAAATCTGCTGGTGTTGGATGAATAAGGACAAAAACACGTGCAATTATGGCATATCTAGACCATATGTTTGCTTTTCAATTTGCGTGTCTCTAACTCTGACATTCCCGATGATGAGTTTAACAAAGGTGAGGAGAAATTTGTTTGGACCAACTGAAGCTATATACTCGGGCTACACTTGTTACACTGGAATTGCAGATTTTGTTCCTGCCGATATTGAGACTGTTGGGTAAGAATATATGATTGACACGTTGCATCTTATTTTTCCCTATTATATCTGTGCCTATCGATTTAGGCTATATATATTCAGTGAAAGAGGCTCATATTTCTCTATTTCTTTTAAAGGTACCGAGTATTTTTGGGCCATAAACAGTACTTTGTTTCTTCTGATGTGGGTGGAGGAAAGATGCAGTGGTATGCATTTCACAATGAACCTGCTGGTGGTGTAGATGTTCCTCGGGGTAGTTACTCTTTTAATGCTTTTCTCTTGCCAATTTAAGACCAATAGACGAAGCCAATGTAACAGTTGCAAATCCCTCTAAGGCATAATTCACCAAACTCTCTGGTGCTGAATCTCACATGACATTTCATTGACTGAAAAGATGACAAAATTATCTTTCCGAAACCTTTTGGGAAAAGTAATGCTGGTTTATATAGTGGATGAACATAATTTCTTTTACTTGTTTTCACGTGGAGAGACACTTTTGCTGTTTTTTTATTATTTTATTATTTATTATTTTGTATTTGGACTAAAAGAGTATTGTTTTTTAAGTGACAGTTCCTTTTTCTCTAAGAGTTTTAACTGTGAATAGAAGTACAAAAAGACAGATACGTGAAAGAAAATTCCATCGAAGTTTAACTTGCCTCGGAATTATTTATCATAACTTTCTTGTTCCACCTTCAATTTCAGGCAAAAAGGAGAGGTTGCTTAAATTATTTGAAGGTTGGTGTGATAACGTCATAGATCTATTGCTAACCACAGATGAAGATGCAATTCTTCGACGTGACATATATGATAGGACACCAATCTTTTCTTGGGGAAAGGGTCGTGTAACCTTGCTTGGAGATTCAGTCCATGCTATGCAGCCCAACTTGGGTCAAGGGGGATGCATGGCCATTGAGGTAAACAATTTAGCCATTTTAGTTTTGCCATCCTTTTTCTTTTTGGTATTTGTCAATCAATGCTATAAATTAGACATTGAAGCTTGCATTTCTTATGCTTGCACTTGTATGTCATAGTAGTTCTCTCTCCCTTTTGCAACTCTGTGTTCAAAAAATATACCTTGTATTTATAACGGCTAATTACTTTTTTAACTTAGTTATATTTATCACTATTTCTAGCTCTGAACTTGAAGTCATATTGAATTCATTTTCTTCGTGTTATAGGATGGCTATCAATTGGCACTGGAGCTGGACAAAGCTTGGAGGAAAAGTGTGGATTCAAAAACCCCTATTGATGTAGTCTCTTCTTTAAAGAGGTAAAACATGATTTGCTGGCTGCTATTGCTGTCTAGGGAAACTTTATAAAAGTCGACTTTGGGGTTTTAAAAGTAATTAATTATTCAAAATCTGGAGGATTTATGAGGGTTTCTTATGAAATAAGCTTTCTTGACTTACAATTGCTATGAAGGCAAAAGATATATTGGAGATTTGAGTTGACAGGCATATCATATCTTTCTGCCATACCATTTCTAGCACAAACCATACGATGGAGCTCTCTCTCAGAAGTAATGAACATAGTAGAATGGTTCACGATTGATCCCATTCCATGGTTCTTTATCTTTGGGTTTATTGATTCAGGTATGAGAGTGCTCGAAAGCTACGAGTTGCAATTATTCATGGATTAGCAAGGATGGCTGCAATTATGGCTTCAACATACAAGGCATATCTGGGTGTGGGACTTGGTCCATTATCGGTAATGATATTTGCCAATTCGGATTACAAATTTGGAATGACTTGAAATAATTTCAGTTTGGCACAAGGGTTTCCTAGAGTTTGATTGCAGCCTATTGTTTATTTATGTAGTTCTTGACAAAGTTTAGGATACCCCATCCTGGAAGAGTTGGTGGGAGAGTCTTTATCGACGTCGGTATGCCTTTAATGCTAAATTGGGTTCTTGGAGGTAACGGGTGAGATTTGAGGACTCTTCTTTCACCATTATCTCTATCAGATGATATCTGACTTTTAATCATCTGCCCTCAATTGCATTTCCATTGCAAACAACAATTATGAAACAGTGATTCACAGTTAAAAACTGACCAATTCTCCTTAAAGTAACTACTTGTTCCAAAATGAGCCCTTCCACATCCTGATATATTTTGATACTTGGTAGAATGAATTTGAGAGGTTGGACAGTTAGCTTTACTATGTTTCATACAGAAAATCTCCATAGCAATATAAGCTTATTTTTCATGTGAAATGTATTAGTTTACTGTACATGAAGTAAAAGACTACCTTTTGCAGCTCAAAACTTGAAGGAAGATCGTTGCGGTGCAGACTCTCAGACAAAGTATGTACCTTAAGAAACTAAACACACAGTCAGCAGACTCGGAAGTTAATTTTACTGTATGTTCCTCGATTGGGTGAAAAAATGGTTCATTATTGGAGTGTTGATTTTATGTTCTCTAATTTTTTTAGGCTAGTGATCAATTACGAAGATGGTTTGCAGATGATGATGCTCTGGAGCGCTCTCTTAATGCAGAGTAAGTATGGCATGTGTTAAATTTATGTCATTGTTTTCCTCATGTTTTTTAGTCATCTACTTTTGTTCAAGAAGCTAAATTATTCGCTTGTTGGTCATTTATAGCTGGTTTCTGTTTCCTGTGGGAAACTCAACTGCTGCATCTGAAACAATCTTCTTAAGCAGAGACGAGAAGAAACCATGCATAATCGGGTATGCCTACGGCTTTGTAAATTGTATATTTTCACTTATTTATGTGATATGAAGGCAGATATCGTTAAACCATTTTCACCAAGGAGCTCGAAGTTAATTACAGCCCCAAAATATTTCTTTATGTGTTTAAAGCACGATAACTCTGTTGTTGCTAACACCAGCACATTTCTGATCTTAGGAGCGTGTCACATCCAAACTTCCCTGGAGTATCAGTAGCTATATCATCCCCTCAGGTGACAATACTAATTGCGTGTGGTTTCTATGTATATTTCTTGAAGTTTCTTTCCATATTTCTCTCTTAATAAAAAGGGTTCACGTTATTGCAGGTTTCTAAAATGCATGCTCGGATAAGCTACAAAGATGGAGCATTTTTTGTAACTGACTTAAGAAGCGAACATGGCACCTGGATCATTGAGTAAGCAATGAGAAGATAATACTTGCAAAAGACAGTTTTCTATTCCACTCGTTCAAATAATATGATTATGATTGTTGCCATTGGTTCATAAAGATCTTCATCTCTTTTTTTTTTTTTTTTTGGGGGCAGCAACGAGGGCAGGCGATATAGGGCGTCTCCCAACATCCTTGTTCGTTTTCATCCATCCGATGTAATAGAATTTGGTTCTGATAAAAAGGTTAATTTTCTTCTCTTTTCCACATTTGTTGCTTGCATGAAATATAAGTGTTTATGCGCATGTAACTCGTTTTCCGTTCATTCTTCAGGCAGCTTTTCGTGTAAAGGCAATGAAGTTTCCACCAAAGAGTGTGAACGCGAAGACAAATAATGAAGTTCTACAGACTTTATGAAGATTATACTCAATGAATTAAGTTAACAATTGAATTGTACAGCATTTATACTCGACAGCAAAACTGCTACATTTTGTTGAGTGCAGGATATGAACTCGAGTTTCGTAAAAGATATATAGCTAAATTTCAGCTATGAGAATGTAATTATTGATAGGATATGTATGCACATAGATGTGAAGGAGGGTTATTCCAAGTGTACAAGCTCCCTCAGATGAGGGGAGCCCACGAATAAAATATTCAGTGGAGGCCTCTCACATGTGAGGAGGCTGTTAAACTTGGTGTACACAAGAGCGCACACCAAGCATAGCGTTGTGAAGAAAATTTGTTCCACCCTCGTGCATCTGTCTGTCCTTTTTTACCGTCGACAAAATTTCTTTTATTGGGAGGTTTGATTTTCTAGCTGCCTATTGAATCTTGTAGTAATTGCAGATATGATGCACTTAAACTTTTAAGATGCAAGCATTTGGTTTCAGAAACGTTTTCGAAACAAAAACTCTTCGAAAATGTTTTGGAAACTCAAAAAGGGTGTTCTATTTTAATGAAATTTACATCATATATTATTGAATATAGGGATGGGGTACGCGGCCCTACAACATCAAAACAAACGGTTACAGTTTTGCACAGTAAGTCGTCGTCCCCATTTTTAATGCAAAGGTATAGTCACCATCAATAATTTCTTAAACTTGAAACGAACCCCCAATCCACCACACAGAATTTAACTCAGCCCATGCCGGGCAAATGTTTTTCATTGCATTGCCTGACAATTAACTAACAGGACCACACCCTTCAAGGACAGGTGAGGCCACTGCCAGGTGCGACACCAACCTGGTGGTAGACAATGGACAAAAATCCATTAATGTACCATCTATGACCACCACAATAGATTCAACTGTTATGGCACTACTTGTTGTGAAGACCATTAAACATGAGACTTGTTTGTAGTGACGGATCCAAGAATTCATTTGAGCTAGGGCGGATCCATTTGATAGTCACTCGAGCGTCCGTCGAGAGGTCGTCCAATGTATGAGGGAAAAAATTCTGATTGAGCTAGCACATACGGTTGTCATGACTTGCAGGTGCTAGCTTCGCCACTGTTTGTTTGAAGTGAGAGTCTAGACTCTATTGACTCGATCGAATAATATTCATATATGTCACTTGTATGCATACATTTCTATTGTCACAATTGAGTATTACACCACGGCGTTGTCTTAGAGAATAAGTTCCCGTTTGGCCCTATTTTTTCAAATTAAAATATGTGGAATAATATTTTATCGGAGAATGAGTAGTTGAAAAAGAAGAAAAGTGTTCGCTTTACGTGTAATATTATTTTTAAAAAAATTGTGTGATTAAAACTAAGAGCAAATTTTTTTTTAATTTAATGGGTTCGAACGGGGTTAAATCAAATTTGTATGCTCTTGAAATTAGGAAGTTACAATGAGTTTTGTTGAATCTCAAATTCTTCGACATTTTTAACGGGTGTAATAAATATTTGAATTAATTCACATGATCGGAGGAGAAAACTTAGTAATAAAATGGTCTTTTAATTAATTTGAATTTTGTGTATACTTTTTATCTTTATTTTCTTTCACATAACACAACTCATATTTTAATTCAAGAAAAATAAATTCAACAATTTAAAAACACTTAGGCCCCGTTTGGAAGTCATTTTTTTTAAAATACATTTTTTTCTCTCTTATTTTCAACCACACATTTTTTATTAAAATAATATTACACGTAAATCAAATTTTTTTTCTTATTTTTCAACCACATATTTCACATCAATTTACTATTTAAAAATATAATTTTACATAAAAATGCGTATCAAACACCCCCTTAGAATGTGTTTAATTGACATGGAAAATATCATTTAGAAAAAAAAATTTCTTTGTTTTCCTTAAAAATAAGGAAAATTACGCATATTTTCAAAAATTGAAAAATATTTTCAATGAAAAAAATAACAATCAAACATTCAGAGTAAAAGTTTGAATAAAAAATTGATATTTTTTATTAAAAATAAGTATAGTCAAACACACCCTTATATCATATGTATGATGGTATGTGCATGGTCGGTCGGTTAAGATGAAGTGACCGTAGGAGCAATTGATCATAATTTGGTCAATCTTCGAAAAAGCATCTAATATTCCTAAAATTTAGGTCATTGTTTTTGAAGTCTTCATTGGTCTCTATTTGATTTGATTTGATTCTCTTCTGCTAATAACAGAGTCATAGTAATTTTATTTTCTTTAATTATTGCTTTGAAAAATATTCAAAGTTAATTTATTTTATTCCATTTGAAAGGGGTTAAAATTCATGAGATCAAATTTCACATTCATTGTCTGAATACGTACTTATAGACTATTGAAAACTAATTCTCTCAATAAGATTTATCTTTTAAGATGAAACTCTAGTCTATGATAAAAATAAACTCTAAACTTGACTCAGAAGAACACATTTCCTTTTGACAATATACGCATGAAGATGTGGTAGGCGCACCAAACACGCTATACACTTATAGTGTATGGCGGCATAATATTTTAAATTTATTGATAATAATCAATTTTATAAAACCCAAACTTGTTCGATTTGGACAACCATTTCACTCTTCGAATCTAGTAGGGGGGAAGTCAAGGGGACAAAGTTTATTTATTTATTTATTTTTATTTTTATGGAAAATACATAATTTTCTATGATAGAAGAATTCCAGATACTCACATGGGGAGTGGATCCCATGTAAGTAAAATAATCCAAAAAATAATCCACCCACCCCATGCTGTGTGTATTCTGTAAGTAGTCTCTAAAAAATCTTTCTATACGTGAAACAACCCTCTTTTTTTATACTGAACCGATACAAGTTGGTCTGCTCTGCTCCGCTCCCTGTGTCCTTGGACTGAGTTTATTTTTCTCGAATCAATGTTTGAATGAGATATTATAACATTGATAATCATAACTGTAGAGATGTGTTGAATGCAAAATCTCTTTTTCATAGGCTTCCCTCTTAAGCAATAAGATGCAAACTCTGGAAAAATATGATCACGCCTGGAAAAGGAGGGACCGTTTGGCTAGAATTATAATTATAACGTCAAAAAATGGGGTACAAAGATTAGATTCACAAATGATTACTAGTCTTCAACTTATAATCCCTTTTACTGCTAGAGAATTTACCTGCCTCTTTTTTGAAAAAGCTCCTCGTTATGTTGTAATCCAGCAAGAAAACGAAAGTACCAATGACTTTTGAACTTGGATGCTTCTAGCGGCCCCCACTTCTTTGCTTTCTTCTCTAAGAATTGTATCGAGAGCCGGAAATAAAAGTTACACATCTAAATTTTTGATTCATCGCAAATTAAAAAATAAAATAAATTCAAACATGATCGATTTGAATATTTTCAAGTTTGAACTTGATTTGGACATACATATTGAAGTTTGAGTACAAATTAGAAATACAGTCAATACTGTAAAAGTTTGTGAGAGTAAATCTGCTTGTACAATAATTTTTGCTTTACAAACTTACACTTCTCTCACATGAGGGGGCCTCATGTTAATCGTGGGGCTTCTTCATGTGATGAGGGTGTACAACTTGCTTACACGAGTGTACAGCAAGCAAAGCCAGTTTGTGAACATATAATAATAATAATAAACTCCACATGTTAAATAATAATAATAAACAAAACTGCTTTTGAAATTAAAAAGTTATTTAAATAATTTCTTAAAAGAATTTTATTTAATTAAATTTTTTTTTTTAGAACAAACTGATTCAAGATGACTTCATTTTTGGCCCCCATTTTTTGGGTTTAATATCATTTTATGAAAGATTATGTGATTGAAAATATGAGAGAAAAAAATAAAATATAATTTAATGGAACGGTGGACAAACGGTACTTTCTTTTTCGAGGAGGAGTTATTCCATAGAAACCGTAAATAGAAGTGCATTGCTTTCAGATTCAAAGACTAAAATCTTGAAAACAAAAATGAGCACCTCGTTGTTTTGTCTCTCAAAAGCTAAACTGGGAAGAAGTTTAGGGTGTCAGGTGTCAATCATCCTTTTATCAATATTACAAATTCCCAAGCAAAAACACAACGTCTCTCTCAGTTGTCTGTCTTCTTAAAAGAAGAGATTCCATCCATTTTCCTTTTTCTTTCGTTTCCGCCGAATAAATTCAGTTCTCAACTTGAACGAGAAGCCTTTTTGGATGGATGGTAGATTTTCATATTTTACTTTATATAAATGTGAAGTTATAACTTAGTCGAGTTCTCCCATCAAGACTCAGAAAGCTCAAACATAGAATCTATGTAGAGCCATAATCAAGTACTCGAAAATCTTTGTTAAAAGTTCGAAAAAATGAGATGCAATGACTACGAAACATTATTTACAGGCCTATGATTCAAAATTATGAAACTTGGATTTGAGAACCTAAAGTAGAACACCAAAAACGGTCCCCCTTTTCTTTCAATTTTGTTCCAACCAAACACAACGTTAACTCTATGCATTCAATTTGCCAATTTTCGCCTACCGATGCCTGAGAGATTTATATACAAACGACGCCGTGTCGTGCGCTTACCTCGAAAGCAATTGGCACTGTCACACGTCCCAGCGCACCAAGCTCTCAGGGCCCCATTTTGGGACCCCACCTAACGTCTTTTTTCCCTCAAAAAGAAGTACACGTGCGACCACTACTGATTCAATTGGGGATCTTCGATCTTGGCATTTCGAAGTACCTTTCTGGTGATGATGAAGATGAGGATGATGAATTTGAGTTCCTCCGACGGCGATCTATGGCGGCGTCGCTCCAGAACTCCACCCATCTTGGTGTTTTTCCGCCAAAAACTGTATCCAGACTTCTTCTGGAAAAATTTGTCGATGAACCGGCTGATTTTTCACTCATGGAACGTTGCTTGGAGAGGATATTCATTTCTGGACCTTGAAACAGTGAAGATTCGCGGTCGAAAAAGTCTGATAAATCAAACCCGCAACAGAAAATTCTGTTTTCGTCGACATAGAATATAGGGTTTCCAGCTAAACATGGATTGCAAGGAATGTAACAATGGTTGAAAACGGGTATAAGAAGAGGGGCCCGTTTGAGGGCGTTTCGGGCTATTTTAAGGGCCTTTTCCGGATCAGATGGCCTCGGACCCCATGACTTGGACCACAAAGCATTCCGTGCTATGTGAAAAGTAATGGAGGCAATTGGTAGATCAATGGAGGCACGAAGTTGCAGGCGAGCTGAACCTGACGAGCGCCAGTCAGGGAAGCCAGGCCCTAAAGGCAAACCAGCTGAAAGCACAGCTTTGAGGTCCGGCGGGAAGGCGAACCCAAACTCCGCCTCTGCTAATGCAAACTCCACTTCGGATAAACCCGACCGGACCTGGATACCCGAAGTCTTGAGATGGCTGATGACTTTATCCGCTAAAGAACTAAATGAGAGGAGGCTGCTGCGCGGCGGAAGTGGGGTGGAGGGAGCGGAAGCGGCAGCTCTGGCGGAAAGGCGGCGTAGGCCGGCAATATGTGCCGGGTTTAAACCGGTCATCCTCCGGTCCACATCTACCATTCTCGTTCTTGTACTTTATATATGGGGAAAATGAAAAGGAAAAGAATTTCTTTCTTTCCGTTCTTGATGTGTAACTTTGCCGGAAAATTCACACAGAAAAATAGCTCCTTTGTGTGTGTGGATTTTAGTGAGAGAAAGTGTCAAAGTTGAAAATGGAGTGATTCGCTGATACTGAAGAAGTGCAAATAGGGAGAAAGGAAGACACCAGAGGAATTTATAACAAAGTAGTGGAGCTGGGGCCCACTTCCAGATTTTCTTGAATAATATAAAATTATCTCCTTTTTCCCCGTCCGTTTCATTATTTATTTTGACAGAATTAATGGCAGTAACAGATTAAGTTGAACACCGAGTAATATTTTACTAATTAAGTCTAAATCAGCTAATTATTATGAAGAGGGTTCAACGGTACTCTTAAAATTGCAAGTAGATGTGGAACTCGAGTGAATTAAAATGGAAATTAACTTCCAAAACATTGATTTGTTGGGTGTCTTTTTAGTGATGTGCTACAAATAGGGAAAAAGGTTGAATGAGTTATATTGCTTGCTTGGTAAGATCCAGATGGGAGTCTTATGCAGGCACTGTTGGAAAAGAGCAAAATTAATATTAAACTATATACAATATCTGGTAAATAGTCATTCTACTTGAACAATTTTTGATTAACTTAGTGTTGCATCGACGTCTTTAACAATTGGGAGCATTGATCCACGACCAAGTGCAAGTCGCAATCTGTTGAAGTAGCTTCAATTGATAAGAGCATTAAAGAGAGTAGCCCTTTGGTCGAGCCTTTGCTTTTTGGATCGTTTTCTATCCAATGCAATGCCCCCCATTTTTAATACATTTATTGAAAAAAAAAATGTAAATTGATTTAATCTCAAAGGTGAAATATATTCTTGAAATATTTGGTGTCACTCGCCCTTCATCTCCCCACTATTTGTGGTCATCTTTTACCTAAACAAACGGGGAAAAGTGTTAAATTGGGAGATTTTAAAATTCAAGGTGTCAATTAAGCCCCTTAATTGGTGTTGACTATTGAACTCATTTTTTAGCCAATTGTACGACAAAAAATTCAATATAAAGTAATGGACACAAATTGTTGGGACATATTTGTCACAATGTACGTACATGTGTCTATAAACGTGCATCTCAAAACTTGGAGGTCATGCCGTCATGATGCGTTCTAATTAACGGCTATGCACTACTTCATTTCTTCGATGATTTAGGGACGTGAGTAGATTATGATTTAGGGGAGACCATTAATGTTGAGGTTCAACCTTTAAAAAAAAACACTAAAATTGCTTTTTCTTCTTCTTTTTTTTTTTTAAAATTTATTTTAACCACATTCGTTTTTTAAAAAAAATTTTTAAAAAAAATAAAATTCAAACACAATTAGTGCCCAAAAAATAAAAATATACAAATAGCTGCAAATCAACAAGTACAGAAATAATTTAAACAGGTATTAGTATAATTTTTCTCATTTGATTTGGTTATGTGTATGTTAATCAACTTTCTCATAACGTTTTCTATACCATCCCATTTCTCAGAGCACAACAAAAATCGTGAACACCAGACTTCGAAAAGTGTAAAAACAGAAAGGGAAAAGAATCTCGATGTTTGCCGGTTAACTATTAGGTTGATGATGAACAGCCGGAGACAGACTCAGCCAGTTTCCCGATTCTTTCGACCAACTCCGGTGACAACTTTTTTACAGGTTGTTTCTCCTTTTCTCGTCTGAAATCAAATCCTAATGCATCCGAAACCTCTTCGGAGCTCCATCCGGATTTCTGGAGCAAATCGGAATACTTATCCGCTTTCAGTGACATAGCATCAAGTATTGCTTGATTGTCCAACATCACCATCTCGCCTTCGAAGAATCCGGATGCTGACACGTGTATGATTTCTGATACGTCTGATTCAGCCCACCCGCCTTCTTTCAGGACCGACCCGATTTGAGTCATGTAATCATCGACCCATTTTGGGATCTTGGATCTTGGCATTTCGAAGTACCTTTCTGGTGATGATGAAGATGAGGATGATGAATTTGAGTTCCTCCGACGGCGATCTATGGCGGCGTCGCTCCAGAACTCCACCCATCTTGGTGTTTTTCCGCCAAAAACTGTATCCAGACTTCTTCTGGAAAAATTTGTCGATGAACCGGCTGATTTTTCACTCATGGAACGTTGCTTGGAGAGGAT